TGAGCAAGTCCACCCCTTCATGGAAATGGCAATGCCTGGTGGCAGTGGCCTCTTTCAGCAGGATAATGCACTCTGCCACATTGCAAACATGGTTCAGGAATGGTTTGAGGAACACAATGGGATTTATTTACTAAAGCTGGCTCACTCAGAATCTCGTTCACCTGTGCATGGTAGCCAATCAGTGTCTAACCTCAGATTGTTCAAGCTTTAGTAATAAAACCTGAAAGCTGATCGGTTTCCATGCAAAAGTGCAGGAGATTCGGAGGGAACCAGCTTTAGTAAATAAACCCCAATGAGTTTGGAGGCCAAGTCAACACAATGAGTTTCCTTGGCCTCCAAGTTCTCCACATCTCAATCCAATCGAGTATCTGTGGGTCTGATCCATGGAGGCCGCACCTCACAACTTACAGGACTTAAAGGATCTTCTACTGACGGCTTGGTCCCAGATCCTACAGAGGTCTAGTGGAGTCCATGGTGAGACGGGTCAGGGCAGTTTTGGCAGCAAAAGTGCACGAGATTCGGAGGGAACCAGCTTTAGTAAATAAACCCCAATGAGTTTGGAGGCCAAGTCAACACAACATGTTTCCTTGGCCTCCAAGTTTTCCAGATATCAATCCAATCGAGCATCTGTGGGTCTGATCCATGGAGGCCCCACCTCAAAACTTACAGGACTTAAAGGATCTTCTACTGACGGCTTGGTGCCAGATCCTCCAGAGGTCTAGTGGAGTCCATGGTGAGACGGGTCAGGGCAGTTTTGGCAGCAAAAGTGCATGAGATTCGGATGGAACCAGCTTTAGTAAATAAACCCCAATGAGTTTGGAGGCCAAGTCAACACGAGTTTCCTTGGCCTCCAAGTTCTCCAGATCTCAATCCAATCGAGTATCTGTGGGTCTGATCCATGGAGGCCCCACCTCCAACTTACAGGACTTAAAGGATCTCCTACTGACGGCTTGGTGCCAGATCCTACAGAGGTCTAGTGGAGTCCATGGTGAGACGGGTCAGGGCTGTTTTGGCAGCAAAAGGCGGTCATAACGTTAAGGCTGATCGGTGTAAATTTGGAATCAGAAGTAGAAGACACACAAAGATCCCTCATTCTTCATCCAAAAAACGAAGCACCACTTTGAGAAGCAGCGATGCCACATTGCCTATACAAAGGTACTGGATTGGTTCTCTCATTGCATGGCATGTACCCATCATTACTGGTACCTATTGAATGGTTCGATCTGCCCGTCATCGATGACCCCTCTTGGATAACTCGTATTCCTGGTATAAGGAAGACAAAGGCGCCGTCCTTTTATGTATTTCTTTTTACTCATCTATTATTTCCTCAGAACTCTTCGTTCCTCTCGCTGTTCTCTCCTCTAACAATACATGGAGATTTGAGTGAAACATTGGAAATATAATGATGTAGGATCCCGGCGCCCCGTCTAACCTGCTACCTGCTTCCACCTTCCATGGACTGGCGGCTCACGTCTCTCTCGGTCCCATCCTAGAGACAAATTGCAGATGTTCAGGTTCAAAGTGCTCCCGTTTAATGAGCACAAACAGTACATTCGGGATGTGAAGGACACAACTAGGAAAGAGAATAATCTCGGGGGACAGGAGTGGGCGTGTTCACATCCCTCCTCACATTGACTATGGAACTTTTTCTGCATTCAATTCTCTAACATGATGGGATAGAAGAATCGGATGTTCCTCGGCGTTGTTTTCTAACCTTGTCATATGCGTGTTGTAGCTCTGGTCATGTGACGTGGCGTGTTCCCTTCTCCAGGCGCTAATTATCATACAGAGGAAGCTGTCAGTTCATGGCTCACATTTACATTTCTACCGGGTAAGATGTATAATAATGAGATATCTCCAAAATGGTGGAAACGTGTTACTCTGAGACGTCTGAACACCCAATCAGACCGGAGACAATGGGATGTCCACCATCTTCCTGGATCTGCAGTCTCCAAACTGTGGCCTGTGGGCTAGCCTTTATCCAACCCTTAGAGGACTATTCCTGCAATGATACAAGGCGTTATTTTCTCCACAGACACTAACAGTAGGGCACTATTCCTCCACTGACACCAATGATGGGGCACTATTCCTCCACTGACACCAATGATGGGGCAAATATTCCTCCACTGACACCAATGATGGGGCACTATTCCTCCACTGACACCAATGATGGGGCACTATTCCTCCACTGACACCAATGATAAGGCACTATTCCTCCACTGACACCAATGATGGGGCACTATTCCTCCACTGACACCAATGATGGGGCACTATTCCTCCCACTGATACCAATGATGGGGCACTATTCCTCCCACTGACACCAATGATGGGGCACTATTCCTCCCACTGACACCATAGAAAGGGGCACTATTCCTCCCACTGACACCAATGATGGGGCACTATTCTCTCCACTGACACCAATGATGGGGCACTATTCCTCCACTGACACCAATGATGGGGCACTATTCCTCCACTGACACCAATGATGGGGCACTATTCCTCCACTGACACCAATGATGGGGCACTATTCCTCCACTGACACCAATGATGGGGCACTATTCTCCACTGACACCAATGATGGGGCACTATTCCTCCACTGACACCAATGATGGGGCACTATTCCTCCACTGACACCAATGATGGGGACTATTCCTCCCACTGATACCAATGATGGGGCACTATTCCTCCCACTGACACCAATGATGGGGCACTATTCCTCCCACTGACACCATAGAAGGGGCACTATTCCTCCCACTGACACCAATGATGGGGCACTATTCCTCCACTGACACCAATGATGGGGCACTATTCCTCCACTGACACCCAATGATGGGGCACTATTCCTCTACTGACCAATGATGGGGGGCACTATTCCTCCCACTGACACCAATGATGGGGCACTATTCCTCCCACTGACACCAATGATGGGACACTATTCCTCCACTGACACCAAATGATGGGGTACTATTCCTCCACTGATACCAATGATGGGGCACTATTCCTCCACTGACACCAATGACGGGGCACTATTCCTCCCACTGACACCAATGATGGGGCACTATTCTTCCCACTGACACCAATGATGGGCACTATTACTTACTCCCATTGACACCCAATGATGGGCATTATTCCTCCACTGATACCAATGATGGGGCACTATTCCTCCCACTGACACCAATGATGGGGCACTATTCCTTCCACTGACACCAATGATGGGGCACTATTCCTCCCACTGAACCAATGATGGGACACTATTCCTCCACTGACACCAATAATGGGGCACTATTCCCCCCACTGACACCAATGATGGGGCACTATTCCTCCCACTGACACCAATGATGGGGCACAATTCCTCCCACGGAAACCAATGTTGGGGCACTATTTCTCCCACTGATACCAATGATGGGGCACTATTCCTTCCACTGACACCAATGATGGGGCACTATTCCTCCCACTGACCCAATGATGGGGCACTATTCCTCCACTGACACCAATAATGGGGCACTATTCCTCCACTGATTCCAATGATGAGGCACTATTCCTCCCACTGATACCAATGATGAGGGCACTATTCCTCCCACTGACACCAATGATGGGGCACTATTCCTCCCACTGATACCAATGATGGGGCACTATTCCTCCCACTGACACCAATGATGGGGCACTATTTTCCCCCCTGATCCCAATGATGGGGCACTATTTCTCCACTGACACCAATGATGGGGTAATATTCCTCCCACTGACACCAATGATGGGGTACTATTCCTCCAAGTTATACCAATGATGCAGTGCTATTTACCATGACACCACCACCACCAGCTAACCGTTGATACAAGGCAGGATGGATCCATCACACCATGACACCACCACCATCAGCCTGAACCATTGATACAAGGCAGGATGGATCCACCACACCATGACACCACCACCACCAGCCTGAACCGTGGATACAAGGCAGGATGGATCCATGCTTTCATGTTGTTTACACCAAATTCTGACCCTACCATCTGAATGTTGCCAGCTGAAATCCAGACTCATCAGACCAGGCAACGTTTTTTGCCAATCTTTTATTGTCCAATTTTGGTGATCCTGTGTGAGTTGTAGCCTTCATTACCTGTTCTTAGCTGACAGGAGTGGCCCCCGGTGTGGTCTTCTGCTGCTGTAGCCCATCTGCTTCAAGGTTCAGAGATGGTATTCTGCATACCTTGGATGTAACGAGGGGTTATTGGAGTTCTTGTTGCCTTTCTATCATCTGGAAACCAGTCTGCACATTCTCCTCAGACCTCTGACACCAAGAAGGCATTTTCCTCCACACAACTGCCACTCACTGGATATTTTCTCTTTTTCAGACCATTCTCTGTAACCCCCGGAGATGGCTGTGTGGGAAAATCCCATCAGATCAGCAGTTCGAACCAGCCCGCCTGACACCAACAACCATGCCACGTTCAAAGTCACTTAAAATCCCCTTTCTTCCCCATTCTGATGCTCGGTTTGAACTTCAGCAAGTTGTCTTCACCACGTCTAGATGCCTAAATGCATTGAGTTGCTGCCATGTGATTGGGCTGATTAGCCATTTGTGTTACCAAGCAATTGAACAGGTGGACCTAATAAAGTGGCCGGTGAGTGTATATTCCCATAGAAGTCCCTTTGTATGGATTCCATTCTCAAACCTCCAGCTTAGCCTTGGGTTTCAGTGTCCTATCTGACCCTATACAGTGATGCAACTTTAGAATCATTGCCATTACCTTCGTTATACATTTTCAGAGTGCCCCCTTGCATCAGGCAGCATCCCCATCAGAGTTCCCCCCTACATTGGGCATTCCAATCAGAGTGCCCCCATACATCAGGCACCCCCATCAGAGTGCCCCCATACATCAGGCATTTCCATCTGAGTTCCCCCCTACATTGGGCATTCCAATCAGAGTGCCCCCTTACATCAGGCATCCCCATCAGAGTGCCCCCATACATCAGACATTTCCATCAGAGTGCCCCCTACATTGGGCATTCCAATCAGAGTGCCCCCTTACATCAGGTTTCTGCATCAGAGTGCCCCCATACATCAGGTTTCCATCACCAGGTATCAGATTTTAGCAGGGAGCGCCTGGTTTGCGGCAGAGCGTATTATAGGAAGGTGTTTATCTCTCTATAGGTATTAATTAGAGATGTGTAATTATTCAGCCCCGTGAGACTTCAGATCCCAGCTCCCATCTCTGGTCATTATCCATCAGGCATTTCCATCAGAGTGCCCCCATACATCAGGCATTTCCATCAGAGTGCCCCCTTACATTGGGCATTCCAATCAGAGTGCCCCCATACATCCAGCATTTCCATCAGAGTGCCCCCTTACATTGGGCATTCCAATCTGAGTGCCCCCTTACATTGGGTATTCCAATCTGAGTGCCCCCTTATATTGGGCATTCCAATCTGAGTGCCCCCATACATCAAGCATTTTTATCAGCGTGCCCCCTTACTTTGAGCATTCCAATCAGAGTGCCCCCATACATCAGGCATTTCCATCAGAATGTCCCCTTACTTTGGGCATTCCAATCAGAGTGCCCCCTTACATCAGGTTTCTCTGTCTGCATCAGAGTGCCCCCTTACATCAGGTATCCCCATCAGAGTGCCCCCTTACATCAGGTTTCTGCATCAGAGTGCCCCCTTACATCAGGTTCCTGCATCAGAGTGCCCCCTTACATCAGGTTTCCATCACCAGGTCTCAGTGATGTTAGCAGGGAGCGCCTGGTTTGCGGCAGAGCGTATTATGGGAAGGTGTTTGTCTCTCTATAGGTATTAATTAGAGATGTGTAATTATTCAGCCCCGTGAGACTTCAGATCCCAGCTCCCATCTCTGGTCATTATCCATCAGGCATTTCCATCAGAGTGCCCCCATACATCAGGCATTTCCATCAGAGTGCCCCCTTACATTGGGCATTCCAATCAGAGTGCCCCCATACATCCAGCATTTCCATCAGAGTGCCCCCTTACATTGGGCATTCCAATCTGAGTGCCCCCTTACATTGGGTATTCCAATCTGAGTGCCCCCCTTATATATTGGGCATTCCAATCTGAGTGCCCCCATACATCAAGCATTTTTATCAGCGTGCCCCCTTACTTTGAGCATTCCAATCAGAGTGCCCCCATACATCAGGCATTTCCATCAGAATGTCCCCTTACTTTGGGCATTCCAATCAGAGTGCCCCCTTACATCAGGTTTCTGCATCAGAGTGCCCCCTTACATCAGGTATCCCCATCAGAGTGCCCCCTTACATCAGGTTTCTGCATCAGAGTGCCCCCTTACATCAGGTTCCTGCATCAGAGTGCCCCCTTACATCAGGTTTCCATCACCAGGTCTCAGTGATGTTAGCAGGGAGCGCCTGGTTTGCGGCAGAGCATATTATGGGAAGGTGTTTGTCTCTCTATAGGTATTAATTAGAGATGTGTAATTATTGGGCCCCGTGAGACTTCAGATCCCATCTCTTGTCATTATCTGAGAGGCTCACAGTACAGGCGCCGCTGTAAATATGTATTTCTATACATACTGTGTATAAGTTAATGATGTAGACGCCGTCAGCTGAGCCGGCATATGGCCGTGTTTGAGTTTTATAGCAACAGATGGATTTGATCTGTGCATGGATCAGCGGAATAACTTTTTAATATTTAATTTCCATTGAATCTTTAATATTGCGCATCTAACTAATTGTACCGCCGTATTTCTGCCAAGCCGCTTCTGTGCGGAGATGGAAAGTGAAAAGTGACAGGAGAGCGCTTAAATTGAAGCCGTCATTGCAGGGAATAAAATGTAATTACTTGAGAGGGGATTCTTTAATACAGTCACTTAACCCCTTGCTGGAAGATATAACAAAGTGCTGGAGGGGGGGGGGGGGGGGCACAAAGCTTTCTGGGCTGCTAAATACAATCTAATCTTCATTTTTATATTGTAGTATGTGGGAGCTATCAAGGAGCAATTTGTGCATTGCTAACATAGACCGTGGGGTGGGGTGGGTCAGCTACCAAGGTTGTCCACGTTCAGCTGCTTGGATTGTATCTGCGCCATTGTGGAATATTATTTCTGCTGAAAGAATTACTATAGATCAGGGGTATTGAATTACAATTCAAGGAGGTCCGGTCATTAAATCTTCTTCTGGCCGAGGACCGAAAATAAATGTCCCCATTAGTGTTCCCCCTTACATCAGGTTCCCTATGCTGAGGGATTTATTACATTGGGTGCCACCATCAGACTTCCCCCATAAATCAGTTGCCACCGTCAGAGTACCCCCCTGTATCAGGCATCCCCATCAGAGTGCCCCCATACTTCAGGTATTCCCGTTCAGAGTGCCCCCTTACTCTCAGAGTACCCCTTTCCATCATATTTCCCGATCAGACTGCCCCTTTCCATCATATTTCCCCATCAGAGTGCCCCTTTCCATCACATGTGCCCATCAGCGTGCTCCTTTCCACAGTATGTGCCCATATGTGCCCCCTTAACATAAAATAAGCGGCATGCTGATGGGCACATTTAATGTTAAGGGGCACTCTGATGGGCACATTCTATGTAGTGCCCATCAGAGTGCCCCTTAACATTAAATGTGCCCATTAGTGTTCCCCCTTACTTCAGGTTCCCTCTCCAGAGTAATTTATTACATTGGGTGCCACCATTAGACTTCCCCCATAAATCAGTTGCCACCGTCAGAGTACCCCTCTACATCAGGCATTTCCATCTGAGTTCCCCCTTACATCAGGCATTTCCATCTGAATTCCCCCTTACATCAGGCATTTTCTTCAGAGTGCCCCCTTACATTGGGCATTCCAATCAGAGTGCCCCCTTACATCAGGTTTCTGCATCAGAAGGCCTTCTTACATTTGGTGTCTCCCATCAGAGTGCCCCCTTACATCAGTTGTCCCCCATTAGAGTGCCCCATTATATAAGGTTCCCCCATCAGTGCGCAGCCTTACATTTGGTATGCCCATAAGAGTGCTCCTTTACATCAGTTGTCCCCACCAGAGTGCCCCTTTACATCAGGTATCCCCATCACATTGCCACCTTACATAAGATATTCCCGTCAGTGCCCTCTTACTCTCAAATGACCCCTTTCCATCACATGTGCCCATCAGAGTTCCCCTTTCCATCACATATGCCCATCAGAGTGCCGCTTTCCATCATATTTCCCCATCAGAGTGCCCCTTTCCATCACATGTGCCCATCAGAGTGCCCCTTTCCATCACATGTGCCTGTCAGAGTGCCCCTTTCCATCACATGTGCCCATCAGAGTTCCCCTTTCCATCACATGTGCCCATCAGAGTGCCACTTTCCATCATATTTCCCCATCAGAGTGCCCCTTTCCATCACATGTGCCCATCAGAGTGCCCCTTTCCATCACATGTGCCCATCAGAGTGCCCCTTTCCATCACATGTGCCCATCAGAGTGCCCCTTTCCATCATATTTCCCCATCAGAGTGCCCCTTTCCATCATATTTCCCCATCAGAGTGCCCCTTTCCATCACATGTGCCCATCAGAGTGCCCCTTTCCATCACATGTGCCCATCAGAGTGCCCCTTTCCATCATATTTCCCCATCAGAGTGCCCTTTCCATCATATTTCCCCATCAGAGTGCCCCTTTCCATCATATTTCCCCATCAGAGTGCCCCTTTCCATCACATGTGCCCATCAGAGTGCCCCTTTCCATCACATGTGCCCATCAGAGTGCCCCTTTCCATCATATTTCCCCATCAGAGTGCCCCTTTCCATCATATTTCCCCATCAGAGTGCCCCTTTCCATCATGTGTGCCCATCAGAGTGCCCCTTTCCATCACATGTGCCCATCAGAGTGCCCCTTTCCATCACATGTGCCCATCAGAGTGCCCCTTTCCATCACATGTGCCCATCAGAGTGCCCCTTTCCACAGTATGTGCCCACATGTGCTCCCTTAACATAACCTGCGCCCATCAGAGTGTCCCCTTAACATATAATAAGCGGCATGCTGATGGGCACATTTATATTAAGGGGCACTCTGATGGGCACTTTCTATGTTGTGACCATCAAAGTGCCCCTTAATATAAATGTGCCCATCAGAGTGACCCTTAACCTCTTGGCGCGGGCAGTCACATGACCCAATCACGGCGGTCACATGACCCTAAAACCTTGCCCCGCCCACTGACTTCTGAAACCCTTAAAGGACCGGGAGGCGCTGGCGCCATGGGGTTAATATAAATGTGCCCATCAGGGTCCCCCATAAAGAACACACCCTACCTTCAGGGCAGACAGGAGCGGGAGGCAGGATCCTCGCTGAAGGGGGCGGGGCACGTGCTTGTGGACAGGGAGGGAGGAACATCTGGAGAGACAGTGAGCTGCAAGGGGGGGGCGCACGCGTGATGTCATTGATTTCTGGGATGACCGCCATGCTGAGTGGTGGATCTGTCATTCTAGCCTGGCGGACTAGAGCGCTGCTCGGGCTGTTCTTGGACCGCGGTCCGCTATTTAGTGACCGCTGATTTAGGGGTTGATTTACTAAAGGCGATTAGGCTGTTCACTTGGTAAGGGAATTTTCTCCAAAGCTAAGTGAATGGGGTAAAGGTCTGCTGACATCCATCATCCAATCTTGCGCAAGCATCTTGCATCAGATTGGGTATTCTTTGCAAAGAGAAATCTCACTACATTCGCTAAGCTGTGGGGCGTATTGTCTTGTTAAGTGAGCAGTCTACTTACCTTTAGTAAATCAACCCCTTGCAGTGCACCAGATAGGAGCCTACGGTAGTATCAATATTCATGTGTTGGTGCAATGCTGTACTGGTCATAGAAATGGTTCTGATATTTAAAGTCACCTGGAGGGCAGATTTTGCCCTCTAACGACTTTTGGGCTCATTTCTCCCCATTGCTCCTTCCTCTGTGGCCACCATTGGGAACGCCTAGAGCTTCCAGATATGGAGGTGTACAGTATGTGACTTCCTCCCATGATAGTACTTGGCCCATGGTAACTGTGACAGACCGCCTGTCACCCTGATTGGGGAATTCCATCAGAGAACCGCTTCCTCGCCGATGGGACACAAGGCCCAATTATTACAGCCGGTCATCACATCCAAGACTAGGTGACACTAGCTTAGGTGCCAAAACTGGAACTCCTTTATTGAACAGAAATACAGGTTTTTATACAGTTCAGCAGTAGGGACAGTCCCCACAGGAACAATAAAAACGAATATTATACATTGGGATAAACATCCCACAGTGATTAGGTAAGAGCTTGATCACATTATCCTAAACAATGCAAACGGTGAACAGTACATTCAACAGCTAACAGTGATCTAATCACCAGGAAGCCAATCAACAGCCAAGCACCCAGCCAGCCAGGGAGCCCACCCCAGCCAGCCCGACACCTCCACCCCTGAATACACAAAGGCCATTACATAACAGTATAAACTAATCAACAGCCAAGCACCCAGCCAGCCAGGGAGCCCACCTGAGACAGCCCGACACCTCCACCCCTGAATACACAAAAGTCCATTACATAACAGGAAGCCAATCAACAGCCAAGCACCCAGCCAGCCAGGGAGCCCACCCCAGCCAACCCGACACCTCCACCCCTGAATACACAAAGTCCATTACATAACAGGAAGCCAATCAACAGCCAAGCACCCAGCCAGCCGGGAGCCCACCCCAGCCAACCCGACACCTCCACCCCTGAATACACAAAGTTCATTACATAACAGGAAGCCAATCAACAGCCAGGCACCCAGCCAGCCAGGGAGCCCACCCCAGACCGCCCGACACCTCCACCCCTGAATACACAAAGGCCATTACATAACAGTAAACTAATCAATAGCCAAGCACCCAGCCAGCCAGGGAGCCCACCCCAGACAGCCCGACACCTCCACCCCTGAATACACAAAGTCCATTACATAACAGGAAGCCAATCAACAGCCAAGCACCCAGCCAGCCAGGGAGCCCACCCCAGACAGCCCGACACCTCCACCCCTGAATACACAAAGTCCATTACATAACAGGAAGCCAATCAACAGCCAAGCACCCAGCCAGCCGGGAGCCCACCCCAGCCAGCCCGACACCTCCACCCCTGAATACACAAAGGCCATTACATAACAGGAAGCCAATCAACAGCCAGCCAAGCACCCAGCCAGCCAGGGAGCCCACCCCAGCCAGGGAGCCCACCCCAGCCAGCCTGACACCTCCACCACTGAATACACAAAGGCCATTACATATACTGTCTATCACCTGTATAATCTGTCCTTCATGAGACAAATCTCATACAATATCCCAACAGTGTGAACAGTGGAATTCATTTATCTTCATAGACCTCTTGAGGGAGATTGTTGATAAATATTTCTGTCCCAAATGGAGGAGCTTCTCCACCCCAGTCCTCATGAGGACCACCATCAGACCATCAACCTGTATAAGATTACTATCACACCTTTCCATCCACTCCAGAAGGGAAGCTGTATTGTCTTTACTCTCGGTGATTAATCCAGCCTCGCTCTCAGCATTCATCATGTTGTTGTCCATCATTAGAGAATGATCTGCTCTCTCCTTGGGCCATAATCAGTGGGTTGAAGACTAGCCCCTAGTCCCCTCCAAAAGCCCCTGTCCTAGTTGGGTCTGTCACATTAACATTATGAAGGAGTGCTTGGGCCATGGTAATATTATGGTGGGGTGCCTAGGCAATGGTAATATGATGGAGGGATACTTGGACCATAGTAATATTATGGAGGGGTGCCTGGGCCATGGTAATATTATAGAGGGGTTCCTGGGCCTTGGAAATATTATTGAGGGGTTCTTGGCCATGGTAACATTATGGAGAGGAGCCTAGGCCATGGTAATATTATTAAGGGGTTCTTAGCCATGGTAATATTATGCAGAGGTGCCTGAGCCATGGTATTATTATGGAGGGGTGTTTTGGCCATGATGATATTATGAAGGGGTGCCTGGGCCTTGATAATTTTATGAAGGGGTGTTTTGGCCTTGATAATATTATGGAGGGGTGCCTGAGCCATGGTAACATTATGGAGGGGTGCCTGGGCCATGGTAATATGATTGAGGGGTTCTTGGCCATGGTAATATTATGGAGAGGTGCTTGGACCATGGTAACATTATGGAAGAGTGTTTGGGCTATGGTATTATTATGGAGGGGTGTTTTGGCCATGATGATATTATGGAGGGGTGCCTGGGTCATGGTAACATTGTGGAGGGGTGCCTGGGCCATGATAATATTATGGGGGAGGGGTGCCTGGGCCATGATAATATTATGGAGGGTTGCCTGGGCCATGGCAATATTATGCAGGGGGACTTGGGACATGGCAATATTATGGAGGGGGGCTTGGGCCATGATATTATGGAGGGGGGCTTAGGCCATGATATTATGGAGGGGTGCTTGGGCAATGACAATATTATGGAGGGGTGCTTGGGCCATGATATTATGGAGGGGGCTTGAGCCATGATATTATGGAAGGGGGCTTGGGCCATGATATTTTGGAAGGGGGCTTGGGCCATGATATTATGGAGCAGTGCTTGGACCATGATATTTATGGAAGGGGGCTTGGGCCATGATGTTATTTAGGGGGGCTTAGGCCATGATATTATGGAGGGGTTGCTTGCGCATTTGGGGCCATGATATTATGGAGGGGGGCTTGGGCCATGATAGTTATGGAAGGGGGCTTGGGCCATGATATTATGGAGGGGTGCTTGGGCCATGATATTATGGAGCGGGGCTTGGGCCATGATATTATGGAGGGGGGCTTGGGCCATGATATTATGGAGGGGGGCTTGGGCCATGATATTATGGAGGGGGGGGCTTGGGCCATGATAATATTTTGGATGGCCACCATCATTGCTCCCTTGTCTTTTCTTGGCATGCTTTCAGATGTTTCCTTGTATATATATATACATCATGCGGAGCCTCCCTGTGACGGGAAGATGCACGTTGCTTCTGTTGTAATGTGAGGCTTGGAGGCCTCCATCTATTTGCTGTAAATACAATGAAATGAGCGTCCCTCCACCCTGAGCGGCACACATGTACTCCGCAGTCGCCGTCCTCATTTCTGTTCCATGTGTTCCTCTTGCCTTGTGCTCCCGCCTGCTATAAATGTAACTGCTAGGACTCTCAATAATGCCCCGTGATGGTGGGAAATGGCCGTCAAGCTATTGCTCTCTTGGGCTTACCGCTTCCAATATTACAAGGCAGGCTGAGGCAAGCTGTGTTTTATGTCCCCTGGGGGGAAACTTTCAATGAACTCCAATAACACCGGCAAACACACTGTAAGCTAATCCCGTCTAAGTTCAACTTAATGCAAGCGATGTATAAATAATGAGACTCCACATTCACATCTGACTTCAGAACGCGTCTGTGAGGCCATCTTAGCAGAAGATACGGCTCACAGATTATAGGAGAACAAATTTACTCTGACAGGATAAAACTACTATTCTGTATCTACGCAATTCATTATAGAAAGCTGCAGCCAACAGTTGGGGCGCCATAGACATTCCAATCATTCATCAGATGTAGCGACAATTCTGACATCTGCCCAGCTCTGGGGCTACGTGTACTTCAGCTCGACTTTGGCGTGTCCCCGTTGTTACTCTACAGATCATAAAGGAGCTCTTCCAGTAGGTCTTTATAACAATGGGGTGCACTTATTTGGTCATTCCCTCTAGTGTTCTCTAGGATTGTTACATTGTATCTCATGTTACAAGGAGCATAGAAAATACAGACATCTTTGTAACAAGTGATACAATGTAACAATCCCAGAGAACACTCAAGGAAATTATTAAATGCATCCCAATGTTACAAAGATATACGCAGGGGGTTTTTTTCTTAGAGAATAGGTGCAGGTACTCCCCTCTTCCTAGTCACCCCTTGTCTCTGCCCCTACCCACCTCCAAGCACCGTCCCTTGGTTCCACCCCCCACCCACCTCTGAGCACCGTCCCTTGGTTCCACCCCCCACCCACCTCTGAGCACCGTCCCTTGGTTCCATCTCATACCCACCTCTGAGAACCGTCCCTTCGTTCCACCTCCTACCCACCTCCAAGCACTGTCCCTTGTTTCCTCCCTCTACCCACCTCCAAGCACTGTCCCATGGTTTCACCCCCTACCCACCTCCGAGCACTGTCCCTTGGTTCCACCCCCCTACTCCAAGCACTGTCCTTTGGTTCCAGCCTGTACCCATCTCCGAGCACTGTCCCTTGATTCCATCCCCTACCCACCTCCGAGCACGATCCCTTGGTTCCACCTCTGAGCACCCTCCCTTGGTTCCAACCTCTATCAACCTCCGAGCACCGCCCCTTGATTCCAACTGCCACCCACCTCCAAGCACTGTCCCTTGGTTCCAACCCCTACCCACCTCCAAGCACTGTCCCTTGGTTCCACCTCCTACCCACCTTCAAGCACTGTCCCTTGGTTCCACCTCCGAGCACTGTCCCTTGGTTCACCTCCTTCCCACCTCCGAGCACCGTCCCTTGGTTCCAATCCCTACCCACCTCCAAGCACGTCCCTTGGTTTCACCTCCTACCCAACTCCGAGCACCGTCCCTTGGTTCCACCCCCTACCCACCTCCGAGAACCGTCCCTTGGTTCCAACCCCTACCCATCTCCGTGCACTGTCCCTTGGTTCCACCCCCTACCCACCTCCGAGCACCGGCCCTTGAATCCACTCCCTACCCACCTCCGAGCACCGGCCCTTGGTTCTACCCCCTACCCACCTCCGAGCACCGGCCCTTGGTTCCACCTCCTACCCACCTCCGAGCACCGTCCCTTGGATCCACCTCCTACCCACCTCCGAGCACCGGCCCTTTGTTCCACCCCCTACCCACCTCTGAGCACTGGCCCTTGGTTCCACCCCCTACCCACCTCCGTGCACTGTCCCTTGTTTCCACCCCCTACCCACCTCCCAGTATAGATCATTTTAGAAAATATAGAGCCAAATAAGATTTTGTGGTGTTATATAGTTTGAATGGAATTTGTTAACGATAACAAGAAAAGCAGGAAAAAGAGATCCCCAGCAGCCTGCAACAATAGAACCCCCAGCAATAATAGTCCCCTCCCTCAACAGTAGATCCCTCTCAGCAACAATTGGATACCCTAGCAATGTAAGACCCCCAGCAACAATAGAACCCCCATCAACAATAGACCCCTCTAGCAACAATTGACCCAAGCAGTAACAACAGCTCTCCCAGCAATAATAGACACCTATTTCAACAGTAGATACCTCCCAGCAACAATTGACCCCCTTATATTTATAAGACCCCCCAGCAACAATAAATCCTCCACAGCCACAATAGACCTCCCCAGCAACAATAGTCCCATCCAGTAACAATAGATCATCCAGCAATAATAGACCCATTCCATAACAATAACCCCCCATCAACAATAGACTCCCAAGCAATAATAGACCCAAGCAGTAACAACAGACCCCCCAGCAGTAATAGACATCTCTCAATGGCTGATCCCTCCCAGCAACATCTGACCCCCCTAAAATAAAATCACCCCCAGCAACAATAGATCCCCCACCAGAAACAATAGAACTCCCCAGCAACAACAGACCCATCCAGTAACAATAGAACCATCCAGTAGCAATAGATTCCCCCAGCAATAATAGACCCCTTTCTTAACAGTAGACCCTTCCCAGCAACAAATGACCCCACAAAAAATATAAGACTCACCAGCAACAATATACCTCCCCAGCAACAACAGATCCTCCAACAAACCAGCAACAATGCACCCTCCAGCTCCCCTCTCACCACCCCTTGCCATTGCATACATTCAGTTCTGGAGGTGCCCGGACCTGCGTTCCCGTGTTCCTGCTGGATATACGTATTTCCTATGCTCTTTGGCTCCATCAAGTGGCCATAATGCAGTATTTTAGTACAGTCAGAAAAGGAAATAACCTAAAGAACATTCGTCCTCATTCGTCTCTCCTCCTGTCCTGTCACTGGGGGTGCGGGGATTGATTTGGGCTTCCCCTCCAGCCTCCTCAGGACTACACATGACACTATCACTATGGAGGAACTCTGCCTGGACGGGGCGTACCCAGCAGAGAGCGCTCGGCTCCATGTTCCAGCATCTTCTCCTGCTGAGAGTGAAGAAGACCGGGAGAGGGGAGGCTGGAGTGCGGATCTGAGTATGAACTGGAGAAGGAAGCAGAGAGATCTGAAGTGGAATAGAAAAGGAGAAAATAAAACAGCAGGAAAAATAAGAAAGTGAGCAGCTGAGCGAAGAAAGAGAAAGCAGCTGTCATAAGAGGAGACAGCTGTGCAAGACAGAGCGAGCCGTGTACAATGGAGACCGAGACCAGCAGAGCAGGAATACAACCGGCAGGACTGAGCAGAACCGCGCAGAGCAGGAACACAACCGGCAAGCCTGAGCAGAGCCGTGCAGAGCAGGAACACAACCGGCAAGACTGAGCAGAGCCGTGCAGAGCAGGAACACAACCAGCAAGACTGAGCGGAGCCGTGCAGAGCAGGAACACAACCGGCAAGACTGAGCAGAGCCGTGCAGAGCAGGAACACAACCGGCAAGACTGAGCAGAACCGTGCAGAGCAGGAATACAACCGGCAAGACTGAGCAGAGCCGTGCAGAGCAGGAAAACAACCAGCAAGACAGAGCAGAACCATGCAGAGCAGGAACACAACCGGCAAGACTGAGCAGAGCTGTGCAGAGCAGGAAGACAACCGGCAAGACAGAGCAGAACCATGCAGAGCAGGAATACAACCAGCAAGACTGAGCAGAGCCGTGCAGAGCAGGAACACAACGGCAAGACTGAGCAGAAATGTGCAGAGCAGGAACACAACCAGCAAGACTTAGCAGAAATGTGCAGAGCAGGAACACAACCAGCAAGACTGAGCAGAGCCGCGCAGAGCAGGAACACAACCGGCAAGACTGGACAGAGCCGCCCAGAGCAGGAACACAACCGGCAAGACTGAGCAGAGCCGCGCAGAGCAGGAACACAACCGGCAAGACTGAGCAGAGCCAAGGGTCTGGGGCAAAGCTTCTCAACCTTTTTCAGTTGCAGCACCATGACAATGTATGAAAAATCCAGAGCCCCCCCCAGATTTAAATGTAAAAAATGGAAATGTTACTTACCAATAGTATACCCAAGCCTAGGATGATACACACAACCACCTTGATATCATTCACTACAGATTAAAAGCCCCCCCTTTACATCCAAGGTGCCCTCATCACATCAGAGTTCCTTCCATCTTGTCAGAGCCCTCCTTCACAACAGAGGTCCCCCAATCACATCAGAGATCCCCCATCACATCAAAGATTCTCCATCACATAAGAGGTCCCCCATCACACCAAGGATGCATCCCATCACATTAAAGATCCTTCATCACATCAGAGGTCCCCCATCACACCAAGGATGCCTCCCATCACACCAGAGATTCTCCATCACATCAGAGGTCCCCCATCACACCAAGGATGCCTCCCATCACACCAGAGATTCTCCATCACATCAGAGGTCCCCCATCACACCAAGGGTGCCTCCCATCACATCAGAGGTCCCCCATCACACCAATGATGCTTCCCATCACATCAGAGATTCTCCATCACATCAGAGGTCCCCCATCACACCAAGGGTGCCTCCCATCACATCAGAGATGCTCCATCACATCAGAGGTCCCCCATCACACCACGGATGCCTCCCATCACACCAGAGATCCTCCATCACATCAGAGGTCCCCCATCACACCAAGGATGCCTGCCATCACACCAGAGATCCTCCATCTCATCAGAGGTCCCCCATCACATCAGAGATGCCCCCCATCACGTCAGAGGCTCCCCATCACATCAGAGGTCCCCCAACACATCAGAGATCCCCCATCACATCAGAGCCCCCCCATCACTACCCTATACCATAGTGCCATCCCTGTACATCAGAGTTCCCCCATATGTCAGAGTCCTTCCTCTGCATCATAGTGCTCCCTAAACATCCCCCTCATATGTCATAGTTCCCCATTACATCAGATCCCCCCATTAGTCTTCCCATCAAATCAGAATCTTTCCTTCACAAAACCTTCCCAATTACTTAGTATCCTCTGCACATCAGAGCCCTACTTTTCAACCCCAGGAGTGTGGCAGAGGGACGGAGGTTGAGGAGGTCTGGAGCAGCCTGAAGGCGGGGGGTGGACCTGAATTCTGCCTGCCATTGATCAATGTCATGACTTGCCATAGTGCAGGCAGGGTGGCTGCCAACACCATAGCAATGATTGACCCCATGTGTACTGTCCTAGAGCATCATTGGTTGTCATGGTGCTGGTGAACAGCCCAAGAGCACCATGGCAACTCATGACATTGATCCAAAGCAAACTTGGTCCAGTGATTGTGCCACCCTAAGGGGAATGCATATGGCAGTGCGCCTTGTTGGGAAACACTGGTCTATGGAGTGACAATAGGAGAGCAGCTACAAGGTGTGAAGACGATGTAACAGAGGGGCAGATCTGCCTTTAGGTGAATGTTTTTATTGCATAAGAAATGGATATAGGATAAGGTGGTCCACCACATTTGTGATTTGGTTTGAAGCGGTCTTCAGGACAGAGAACTCTGAGGTCTGCTATTATAGAGTGTACAGGTCAAGCTGGTCTCAAACATCTACCAACATTAGTTCAATGTGGTGTCCATGTCATAGAACTATGATGTCTACTATTACAGAGTGTATGGGTCAAGCTACCCTCAAAGATCTAACAATATTAGTTCAATGTTGTCTTCAGGTCGTACAACCATGATGTCTACTATTACAGAGTGTATGGGTCAAGCAGCTCTCAAAGGGCTAACGATAATAGTTCAATGTGGTCTTCGGGTCATAGAACTATGAGATCTATCATACAGAGTGCATGGGTCAAGGTGCCCTCAAAGAACTAACGATAATAATTGGTCAAAGTGGTCGTCGTGTCGTAGAACTCTGATATCTATTATTACAGAATGTACAGATCTATCTGGTCTCAAAGAACTAACAATAATATAACTATGTGATCTACTATTACAGAGTGTACGGGTCAATCCGATATCAAAGAACTAGCGATAATAGTTCAATGTGGTCTGCAGGTTGTAGAACTATGATATCTACTATTACAGAGTGTATGGGTCAAGGTGCCCTCAAAGAACTAATGATAATAGTTCAATGTGGTCTTCAGGTCGTAGAACTATGATATCTACTATTACAGAGTGTATGGGTCAAGGTGCCCTCAAAGAACTAAGGATAATAGTTCAATGTGGTCTTCAGGTCATAGAACTATGAGATCTATTATACAGAATGTACGGGGCAAGGTGCCCTCAAAGAACTAGCGATAATAGTTCAATGTGGTCTTCAGGTCATAGAACTATGAGATCTATTATACAGAGTGTATGGGTCAAGGTGCCCTCAAAGAACTAATGATAATTGATCATGTCGTAGAACTCTGATATCTACTGTTAAAGAATATTTAGGTCTATCTGGTCTCAAAGAACTAACGATAATAGTTCAATGTGGTCTTTAGCTTGTAGAACTATGAGATCTATTATACAGAGTGTATGGGTCAAGGTGCCCTCAAAGAACCAACGGTAATTGGTCATGTCGTAGAACTCTGATATCTACTATTACAGAATGTACAGCTCTATCTGGTCTCAAAGAACTAACGATAGTTGTTCAATGTGGTTTTCATGTCGTAGAACTATGAGATCTACTATTACAAAGTGTACAGGTCAAGCAGCTATCAAAGAACTAATGATGGTAGTTTAAAATGATCTGTGGGTCTAGATCTACGAGATCTACTATTACAGAGTGTATGGGTCAAGCTGGTCTAAAAGAGATCATAATAATAGTTTAATGTGGTCTTTAGGTCGTAGATCTATGAGGTCTACTATTACAGAGTGTATGGATCAAGCTGGCCTCAAGAACGAACGATAAATAGTTCAATTTATTTCTT